GTAAACTAGAGAGAGCACTAACATGAATTCTGAAAACTGGACCCTTTGACCTATAAAGTAATCAGGTTCTTTTTTTTTTCCTCTTATGTTTCATCCAGATGAACTAAAACCCTGCTTTTGGAAGCGACTGGGTTGGTCTGAACCATCCAGGTAATGAGATACCAGATGTTTGTAAGTCAAAGTTCATGGTTTATAGATAACATGAGCAGAATGGCTGGGCAAGGTGGCTCACACCTGTAATCCTAGCACTCTGGGAAGTCAAGGCGGGAGAATTGCTCAAGTCAGGAAGTTCGAAAAAGCCTGACAAAAGTGAGACCCCATCTCTACTATAAATAGAAAGAAATTAATTGCCAACTAAAATATATAGAAAATTACCGGGCATGGTGTTCATGCCTGTAGTTCCAGTTACTTGGAGGCTGAGGCAGAAAGGATTGCTTGACCCAGGAGTTTAGGTTGGCTGTAAGCTAAGCTGATGGCTACGACACTATACTACACTTGTCCTAGCCAAAAGGCCGAGAAGCATGCCATGGCACTATAGCCTAGCAACCAGAGTGAGACTCTGTCCTCAAAAAAAAAAATTAGTAAAATATAAGGTGAAATTAAAATGCCAACTTTGATTAAATAAGTGGCAGAGTCAGCCCAAGAACAGTTTTAAATATAGAGCAGGGAGTGCAAAGATGCTGCTATTAATTGCTTTGCAGTCATTTCTGCATCTTCATGATACACTTTTGATCATAATCCTCACCTTGATTATCAAAAGACCAAATCCCCTTTCCCTTGAATTTACAGATTTAAACAGAAAGAGGAGTTGTTTGTGTCTTGAGAAATATACATACAATTGAAACTCCCTTTTTTTGTTCTTTAAAAACAACACTCACAGATAATCGTCGTGGATCAGAGTGATTCGACTGCACTGGAATTGCGATCGTAGATGGACTCCTGGCCATGGTTCGAGTGTCCTGTTGTGAGCTCTCTTCTTGTCCTGCTTCAGTTGCCATCAGGCAGTCAGTTTACCAGGTTTAACTCCGCTGTTCCGCCACCACAACGCAACATAATCGGTTTGCCGCTCGTTTGTGCAGCACATTCAAACACTTTTCCGTCAGGTTTTCTGAAAACTTCAAAGGTCTGTGATTGTAAACATTTTTTGTTGTCGCTAGAATGGCTTTTCGTTTTGTTTAAGTCCTTTATATAATAAATATGTTTACTTTAATGTCCATAAGTTTCAGCGTGAAAGATATATTTACCCCCCCACCTGTGTTGTATTGTTGGGAGCTGGGAGAGAACTGCCGCCCAGCAAGGCCTCAATTTTCTGTTCTAAAGTTGACAAATAGGACCAAATACGAGTTGCCCTCCACTCATTATAAAAATTGGCACCAGTCATCCGTGTTTATCTGAAATACGCCTGTCCACGGTTTCTCTAGTAATCAAAGGAATGCTAATGAAAACAGGATATTGTTTTTCATCTAACTGATCGCAAAGAGGAAAAATATAATTTCTAAGGTTGGTGAGTATGTGAGTAAACATACATCTTCATTCACTGTGTTGGGGGTATAAATTGGTACCACTTATCTGGAGGGAGGGATATTATGTATTTTAAATGTGACTATTTTTTGACCCAGAAATTCCATTTAGACCAGTAATTCAGAAATTTCATTGTACACATGAATCACTTGGAGATCGTGTTAAAATACAGATTCTGACCGAATAGGTCTGAGGAGTGGCCCAAGCTCCTGTATTTCTAAGAAGCTCCCAGGTGGTGCCTGTGCTACTGGTCCATCTAGATTTAGAGGACTTTATCCTTAAAGCAGCATTCTGGAACCCTCGCTGCACATTAGAGTCTTCTGAGAAGGTTTGAAAACCACTAATGCTCAGGCCTTAGCCTCAAATTATTTGATTTATTTTGTCTGAGGTGGAGCATGGGCTTTAAAAAGCTCTCCAGGTGATTCTAATGTGCAGTCAGGATTTAGAACTATTGTCCTAGAGAGAAAATTGGACTGTACACAATGATGTGTTTTCATAAAAGGATGTTTATTGCAACGTTGTTTATAGTATCAAAAAATTAGAAACAACCCAAATAAGCTGGGTGTAGTGGCAAGCACCTGTAGTCCTAATACCTATAGTCCTGTAGTCCCTGCTAATCAGGACACTGAGGCAGGAAGATCAGTTGAGCCCAGAAGTTTAAGGCTGTAATGGGCAATGATCGCATCTGTAAATAGCCGCTGCACTCCAGCCTGGGCAACATAGTGAGAAAAAAAAATAACCTGATGTCCAGCAATAAAGGACTGGTTGAGAAAATTATGGAACAACTATAAATGGATTGGCTGGGCGTGGTGGTTCACACCTATAATCCTACCACTCTGGGAGGCCGAGGCAGGAGGATGGCTCAAGGTCAGGAGTTCTAGACCAGCCTGAGCAAGAGTGAGGACCCCCCCACCCACCCACCATCTCTCCTAAAAATAGAAAGAAATTAGCTGGACAACTAAAAATATATAGAAAAAATTAGTCGGGCATGGTGGTGTGTGCCTGTAGTCCCAGCTACTTAGGAGGCTGAGGGTGGAGGATTGCTTGAGTCCAGGAGTTTGAGGTTGCTGTGAGCTAGGCTGATACTAGAGAAGAAAATAAACAAAATTTGTGCAATTAAGTTCATTAGTGTCTACCGGTATGGCCAGAGAGCCTGTACGTGATAATAAAAAAAAGGGGAAAGAACCCAATAATTGGTTTTTTAGAAAGATTTCCTATCTTCTAGAACAGATCACCAGTTGGTAGGTAAAACGTACCCATTGTAGGTAAACTATAGAGAGGCAATACATGATATACTGACCACACCTGGACTTTGATACTAAAGTAAAGTTTTTTTTATTATTTCAATCTTATGTTACAGCATACTAAAACAAAACCTGGGCTTTGGAGACTGGAGATTCTGACCATACAAGTAATAAGATAAGGGATGTTTGTAAGTCAAGTTCATGTTTAGATAAAAAATGACAAAATGAATGGGCAAGTGGCTCACACCTGTCAAATACCTAGCACTCTGGGAGTCAAGGCGGAAGATTGCCTCCAAGGTCGAGGATTCGAAACCAGCCTGAGCAATAGTGAGACCCATCTCTACTATAAATAGATGAAAGAAATTAAGTTGGCCAACTAAAAAATATATAGAAAT